CCAGATAGAACAGCACAGGCCGAGGCCACCCGTGTGCCCTCGCAGGCCACCTGCACCAAGGTGCCACCATGGGCCCAGGCATGCCACTGTGGTCCATGTGCCTGGACAGGCCACTGTGAGCCACTGCCACCTGTGTGCAGGCACGACCCACGTCCAGATGCACCGTCCCTGTCCAGGCGTGACCTGTGTCAGCTGCCACCTGTGTTTAGACATGACCACCCGTGTGGCGATCCCACCCGTGTGCAGACACCACTTTCGTGCTAATGCCACCTGCATGCAGATGCCAACCACGTCCCCAGACATGCCACCTGTATTGTCCTGGCAGGGCACAGCTCAGCACAGAGGGGCCCTGGCGAAGCTGGGGTGCTCACCTCCCCATGAGGGACCCAACACAGCTCTCTCCAGCAGAACAGCTCCTTTATTTTTAACAACGTTACCCTGCCCTTGACCATTTCATTTTCAGCAGGTGGATACAGGGAGAGGAATCACACAGTACAAACGGGATACAGGGAGAGGAATCACACAGTACAAACAGAACCTGGGTTCACCCTGAAGACCTCAGTGGCCAAAGAGTTTCCAGCTGTAGCAATGGTTTTGCTGTAAGTTTTGGGTGGAAATGGTTCTTTCCCAAACAGATAAAAAGAACATAAAAGTGCGGATTATGTTTATGTCATTTTCTCTCTCCTGACATGATCTTGTAATTGGAAATTTGAACTGTGCTTGCTAATCTCATCTGAATCGGTCATCTGCGTATATTAGAAACAGCACAGACACCTTTTAATAGGAACAAGACTAATTTGCCACCATGTTTTGATTTCAAGCCCCAGATATGATGATTGGTGGGGAAAAGCAACCACTTGAAAATAAGACCAAAGGACACCTTGAGGCCCAGGTTAGAGTTCAAACCGACTGTGTATATGTTTAGATTTTAACTTGTTGTACTTGGTGATCAGATCCAGCTTACTGTGCCCAAGAGTCATTCTTTTCTCAGCCCCATACGTGCTATGCTTTTCCACCAGCATGTCCTCAGTGAGTTTATCATAGCAAGGAACTACTACAGGCTTTTTCTCTCGTTTGAGCTGGTTGTATGAGGATAGCAGGTCCAACTTTCCTTGTCTGGGACTCTGTTGTTTTTCCATCCCATAAAAAGTGTTGTCATTTTCTGCTGTTGGTTCCCTGGAGGCAGCAGCAGGCTCTTTCTCCATCATGCTTGTCCCATTGCTACTGGCACTCTCTGAAAGGGACTGCAATGTCTGCTCCTGTCTTAGTGGGGAGCAGTGGCTGCTGTTAGCCTTAGTGTCCCCTTGATAACTAGTTTTATTGGAGGTCAGGGCAGGGGAAGGCTCCGGCTGCAAGAATGTCCTTGCTGTCATGACATTTGATTTGTGATACAAGGCTGGGGTGGATTTATTTGGAGGACTGTTTGGTGAGTCCGGTGGTTCTCCTTGCTGCTTAGGGCAAGTGGGCTTCAGAGATGTGTCTTCCTTCCCCTTCTTATTACCAGAATCAGAGCTTGAATCTTGCTTTTCCTGGTGTACATTGCAGCTGGAGTTTTTCAAAAAGGGAGACACTTTTATGCTTCTGATGCTTACATTGGAAAGGCTGCTGGAAGGGCTCAAGGTTTCAGCATCATTCACCTGTGCAGGTTTTAAAAGGTTGTTGGCAACTCTTGAGACGTTCTGAGAAGAGGGGCACATTCCAGGATCTGGCACACAGAAGCTGGTCACTGCTCTGGACTCTGCATACAAGTACCGGAATTCCTTGTCAAACTCCGCAACAATTTGACCACGAAAGTGGGTCACCAGGCTTGTGTGAACTTGGCTGCAAAGCCAGGTGAAACTGTGAAAAAAGAAAAAAACCCAGCACATGTAACTAGTTCACAGAGTGTCAGGATACCTAGTACTGATTTTAACATTCAGGTGATGTATTGCTACCCAATTTATGCCACTAAAACTTTCTCTGAAGTATGCAAGTCTCAGATTACTTGCAGAGACGAATGTACTCATTACATAATTACAAAAGAACAACCTAAAATGGTCTTTCAATTTCAGCTTGGTAATGTAATGAACTATATGAAAATATAAACAATGAACAAGAAATATCAGACAGTATTCCGTAGCCTTATGAAGGATGTAGAGCAGCAGCTGGTCCCTGCCTAAAAAGCACAGCAGCATGTTTCAGGCCTTTTCTTCTCCAGCTTCCTCTTTCCAGTGCTTTCTGCCCATAAGCAAGGAACCATCGTTTCCCATTCCTCATCCCATCCGTGTGTTGGAGAGTACCAGCTAACCTTTTGTGGGCAGGCTTGTCAGTCCATGCAGGGGGCTACTGCAGTGTGCGTGGTTTGTATCAAGCAGGCAGTGGCAAGGAGACCTCCGACTGTCTGGAGATGGTGTGGCTATGGGACAATGAGATGCGAAGCATGGGGCACTGAAGGGCTCTTTCTGCCCAACTTGTATTGCAGACTTTCTAGCTCATCATTTGGCTAGCACAGTACACTGTAACCGTACAGAGGGTGAGGAGACTGTTTGGGGAGATATTAAGGCGTGCCTGGTCTCCTGCTCTCTTCCCTTGCCTTGGCAGGAACTACGTTCTCATGTCCTTAACATCTGCAACATGTGATAGACTTGAAGGAGCCTCCTAGGCAGGCAGGAGGGTGAGGAATGGAGATCTTGGGCACTGCCTTGAGGAGCTGAGGCCTCCAGAGCCCCACAGGAATACCTCAGGACAGGAAGGCTGATGATGTTTTCTGTAAGTATTGCTGCGAGATCTCCCAGACTCATTCCATCTTTTCCTTGCCATCCAGTTAAGATGCATGGTGTTAGAAGTTCACGAGTCCTTTGCTCAGCAAGTCCAGTCCCCTGCTCTCGCAGTACAATGTCTTGGGATATTTTCTGGGAGCTTGTTATGTTCCACCTTAAAATGAATTAGGTTTTGCCACAGCTGGGCAAAAACTTTCACTAATTGCCACTCTGCTTATTTTCCTTACCTATTTAACGCTACCTGTTGTTTGTGCCAAAACTGTAACTTAATTAGCTCTCCCCCCATATACCTACAGATAGTAACACATTTCTCCTCCCAGTCTTCACAGGCATAGACTAAACAGGGAAGCTCCTCTTACAGAGTAGATTCCCCAGGCTTCTGGTCATCCCAGCCATCCGCTGTTTCTTTTATTCTTGCTGTAGTCAAACCAGATTAGCAAATTAATTGTGTTAAATAAAACAAAACCTTCACAGATGGAAGTACCAGCTTAGGGCTGCATTATCAGCTGCTAAAGCAAGATGCTGGCTCTGACAAGAGCAGGATGAAATCACAGAAACTACAGGAGAACAACTGTAATGAGAGATTACAATTATTCTCAACTAAACGTCATTTCAGGACAAGATACTGGCACTATGTTTTGGGACCTCATCAATGTTTACTTCACAAGACAGCCGTTTGGGAACTTTTAGTAGGAAAACCAGCTCTTGGCTTGTTCCTGAGCAGTATGCAGTTGCTGTGGTTCATAATGTTGTTTTGAAGAAAGTAGTATACTTACACTCAGCATACACCCCCCTCAAAGAGCAACGTAAAATGAAAAGATCAATACTCTTCTGCTTAATATCAAACCAGGTAAATTAAATAAGAATGAAGAAGTAGTAAAAGAGTGAAAAACTTTTGCAGGTGGCATGAAGATTATTCAGAAATACCATACTGGAGGCTCAAAGCAAGTGCATACAACTTCACAGAGAGACATGAGAAAAAAAAAAAAACAACAGAAAATAGCTGGGGTGGCTAAATGACAGCAGAGAAGCTATTAAGACCAGAAAACTCATCTTTCAAAAAAGTTGGGTCACGCATTGCAAAAGGAATAAGAAATAATATTCAGCTCTCTGTGGGGCTAGCACATGGTCCATGTGTAATAGGAATGCTCAGATAATTCCTCTGCATCAGTATTTATTGTACAGGAGCTTGGGATGATCCCTGCCCTGAACCCACCTTTATACAGAATGTAAGGGAGGATCAGTCTCATGTTGAAATCTCTGTAGAAGGGATTAGAAAACATATCAACAAAGCAGAAAATAATAAATTGGCAGGACCAGGTAACATTAACCCAAGAGCACCAAAGGAATGCAGGGATGAAATAGCTCAACTACTTAACCAGGACATGTTAACTCTCACTTGAAAGTGCCTTGGTTATCAGAAGAGTGGAAGGTTGTGTCCCGGTTTTGGCTGGGATAGCGTTAATTTTCCTTCTAGTAGCTGGTATAGTGTTATGTTTTGGATTCAGTATGAGAATAATGCTGATAACACGCTGATGTTTTCAGTTGTTGCTAAGTAGTGTTTATAGTAAGTCAAGGATTTTTCAGCTTCTTATGCCCAGCCAGCAAGAAGGCTGGAGGGGCACAAGAAGTTGGGAGGGGACACAGCCAGGACAGCTGACCCAAAGTAGCCAATGGGGTATCCCATAACGTGTGAAGTCATGCCCAGTATATACACTGGTGGGAGTTGGCCTGGAGAGGATCACTGCTCAGGAACTAACTGGGCATCAGTCGGCAAGTGGTGAGCAATTGCATTGTGCATCACTTGTTTTGTATATTACAATCCCTTTACTATTATTGTCATTTTATTATTATTATCATTATTATTTTCTTCCTTTCTGTTCTATTAAACTGTTCTTATCTTAACCCATGAGTTTTACTTTTTTTTTCCTGATTCTCTTCCCCATCCCACTGGGTGGGGGGGAAGTGACTGAGCAGCTGCGTGGTACTTAGTTGCTGGCTGGGGTTAAACCATGACAGGTTGCTAATGTGATAGAATTTTTTTAATGTTTCAGACCATTAAGTCTCATAACTGCACAGCACAAATTAGTAGACACTCTTCTAAAGAATACAATTAATGGCCATATAGGTAAATATGAAAGGAAAGGC